GGGCTTTCCACCATTCTTCTTCCTATATGTTTACTGAAGTGATTTGTCTGCCTTCCTTCAGTTATGGATTTTAAAATGTTGACTAAGAACAGGGTTATGCACAAATCCTCTCAACCTCCCCACCTCCAACACATAGTGTTGACATCAATTGTTCAATCACCACCATGTTGTCATAATCTGGTTTTAGTCAACATGTACCAACCCTTAGTGACCATCACTTCCGTGTTTTGTTTTCACAGCTAACATATTTAATTCTTTGGCCTGCAATTTTTCCAGGGATTGTCGACCAGCCTCAGGTTTTGTGGTTTTATTACCTACTTTTATCTCCTTTTAGAAAATGGGAATATTTGTCTCGTGTCAGTTGGTATTACCTTCTTCTCGATGAGCTATGGAAGATTACTCCTCAGAGTTCCATAGTAATATCTGCAAGATACTTAAGCAACATGAGCCTTTAGACTTGTATTTAAAGCAACTAAGTATTGGCCTTTCTAGCTCTTTATTTTTCTTGGCATCCACTATACCCTAGTTCATTTATTAGGCTTTCAGAACGTAAAGACTTTGTACTCAGTGCTGAGGGTGCAGTTGTGCACACAGGATTTACAGTTAAGTGGAGGAGGCAGAAATGCATAGGAAATCATCATAAAGTGTAGTACTCCCTTCAGGTTGTTATGGAAGCCCACAAGGGGTGGGGGTCATGGAAGTCCACAAGGGGTGGGGGTGGGTCAGTGAATTGGGGCTGAAGGTGGTAGCACCTGATTAGATCTGCACTTTAGAAAGATAATGCTTGCCGTACTTGAGAAATGGGCTTCTTAAACTGTAATGTTGCTTAGGAATCATCTGGGAATTGACAAAAATGCAGATTCTGGCTCACTGTGTCTAGAGAGGGGTCTGGAATTCTGCATCTAACCAGCTCCCAGGTGAGGCTGATCCTGGTTTTCCATGGACTACCCTTTGAGGAATAAGCCTTTAGATGTACATAGAGAGTACATAGAGAGAAAGAGTGGGTTGGTGGGGAGAAAGAGGCTGGTGGGGTAATATGGGAGACAAAGGATAATGGCAAAACTTGGGGACACTTGTTTTACTCTTTGAAGTCTGAAAATTGATCTCCCGTGTGAAGACTTGGACTACTAAACGGGTATTGAATATTTTTCTTTCATCTGTCAATAACTGTACAGGCTAAATTAAGGAAAGAGGGAGGGAGTTCAATTCCAATCTTAGTTGTTAGCAACCAGCCTCACTTTAAGCCCACCAAGGCCTCAGTTGTCTCATCTATAAAATGTGAGACTGGTTGTTACGGGCTGAATTGAACCCTAAAGTTCATATGTTGAAGTCCAACCCCCTCCCCCCCACAACTTCAGAATATGACCTTATTTGGAAATAAGGTAATTGCAGATATAATTAGTTAAACTGAGGTCATACTAGACTAGGATGGGGCTCTAATCCAATTGGCTGGTGTCCTTATAGAAAGCATAAATTTGTACACAAATTTCTCCTTGAGATCTGGGCTGAAGACTTAGCACAACTAAAATGCTTCTGAGATAGATTTTTAGGAAATGCATGGCATGATAGTGGTGGGTCCGTTTTTACCTCAGCCACAAGAACCTTTTGAGAATCATTTGTTTTTGAGCTATACAGAAATATTTTAGCAAAGTGTGTTAGCGGTCCTATGTAATTCCAGCAACAGTAACGTCAAGCCCATAGAAAACAGAAACAAAACAACCTGTCTCAATGTTTTCTAAACTTGTTTTTTCTGATGGTTGTCCCAGAAGAGAAAGAACTTGTCTCTTATTTCACAGTAAATGTATCTAATCGAATGTACTCTTTTATTCCCTGGATTCTGAAGTTTAAAGAGTAAAGAGAAAAATATAAAAGGCACCTGTTCATAAGACAAAGGAAAATTTTCCCTATTTAAAAGGACAAGGACCCTCCCCAAACAACCCTTTTAAGAACATACTGGACTCTGCTATTCCTGGAAAAACAAAGGGATTTGGGACACAAGAGGCTAAATAAAGAACCCCAGAGTGTGATGGAATTAGTAGAGTAGTAATGTCGTCTTCTGGGTGGGAGGAGAACTGAGCAGGGCATCCAAACTGACCCAAGGACTTTCCTCGCCAAGCAGGGACATTTAATAGATCTTATCATTATAAGATTATTCCAAGATTATATCACAGTATCTTAGTTTTCTCATCTACAAAACAGAGGAAAGAGACCTTCCAGTCAGAATATAAAACGGGATGGCAAGCATTCCATAGAATGAGATTTGAGTTTTTATTAAATGTCATATATCCCTGGGAAAAATATGCTTCAGTAGTAACAGCAGAACCATTGAGTGAGCATGTTGACTATACTCCTGGGCACTGGAAAGGTGTTTTGCCTACATTTTCTCATTTGGCCCTCATAACAACCCTACTAGATACATGTGTCTTAGCCTTACTTAATGGATGGTAGAATCTGAGGCCAGAGACATTAATTAACTTTTAATGCCAAAAGGCCAGGAAGGCATGGAGCCAGGATTCAAATTCACATCTCTCAGCTCTGTGGGGATCCCAAATGCAGGACTCACGGGCTGCAAAGCTCCCTTGCTGTGCCAGGACAGACATTACTAATTGATTATAGCACTCACTTTGGAAATTTTCTGGGCTGACAATACTGATGGTGGGGAGTTAAATTTACCCTGCCAATGCCTATGCCATGTAACAGTGGTCCTGATGGCCTCATTTTCAGAGATTCTGATTCAGTAGGTCTTGGGTTGGATTCCAAATCTGTATTTGTAAGGATTTTCTCAATGTATCTGATGGCAGCCAGGTTTGGTATCCACCACTTTCTGCACCTATGTTCTGTGAGGCCAGGTCTTTTCTGTTTGTCTCTGTGTTTGGTCTGTGGGTTTCTGAAAAAAATGAAAAGCTAAGGGAATAATCTCAGGAGGGAAAGGCCACTATTGACTAGCTGCTATTTATGGAATGATACTAAAAGAAAGGCAGGTCTAGCGCCTTCTTTTTTCTTTTTTAAACCACCAAAATGCTGAAGGAAGACCTAGTCATAGCCTTCCGTGCCAAGTATCTGGTGAATTTTAAGGATCCATGAGTGATCGTGATGTGTTGGAGGGAAGAAAGACCTCATAGCTAAGCTCCGAGAAGCCCCTGCTTGGAGGAGTATAGACTATAAATAAGAGTAAATGAAAATCTTATAACTTATGATTCATTAGTAATCCCACCCCTTTAATTCATAACAAGTTGACTAACACTATTCCTCCCCCCGAAAAAAAGTACTACATGTAGTAGATGGCATACCTGATGAGAAGCAGCAGCAATACTCCATTAATATTTATAAATTCCTCAATGCTTACATTCCTCATCTATTTGGAAAATCTGCCTAAGTAATTAAGGAGTAAGGGGAATTATAAAGATGAAAAATATCATGAAAACAGTGCTCATGGAAGTTATCAACACTATTTTGCTTTTACTGTTACTCCTTAATGACTTAATTTTCCATGGACAACATTTTAAAAATGTAAATTTCTAGATTAAAAAAACCCAGCAACTCCAAACTTCATTATCTTCCCAGCAAAGCAGACATTTTTCAAACAGTAAACTTACATCTTTGGCTTCTCCACAAGGTACCGAAAGTGTTTACTTCCAATGATTTTCACCACCATCTCAGGCACTGCGTCTGAGCCACGGGGAGTCTTCCAAACAGAAGACATGCTTCTTCTCAAAATCTTTGCAAATCCTTGGATTGGAAAATGAGTAAATCTTTTCTCTTCTAGATTTCCTGTTAGTCAATTTACTGTTGTCGATAATAACAACAAAAATAGCAGCAGAACCCAGCGCTTTGCCAGTCTTACCTCACTTGACATACCTAACAAAGGCATGTGAAAGATATTCTTAATTACTATTATCATTCTTGTTTTAGTTGAGAGAACAGGCATAATGTAGTTATGTGACTTACCCAATATCATAGAATCAGTAATTAGCAGAATTGGGAATCTCACTCAAGAGGTCCACCAAGAGCCATCTAGAAACTCTACCTTTCTGATATCGGGTGGTTTCCTTCTACCTTTCTGATGTGATTCTTGTGAAAGGATACCAGGGCTTTAGGTGAGAATAGGAAGATCTTATATTCAGCTCTCATGCTCAGTTTCCCCTTTTAAAAAACCAGGATAGGGGCGCCTGGGTGTCTTAGTCGGTTAAGCGTCCGACTTTCGCTTAGGTCATGATCTTGCAGTTTGTGGGTTCGAGCCCCGCGTCGGGCTCTGTGCTGACTGCCAGCTCAGAGCCTGGAGCCTGTTTCAGTCTGTGACTCCCCCTCTCTCTGACCCTCCTCTTCTCACACTGTCTCTCTCTCTCTCTCTCTCCTAGAAATAAATAAAACATAAAAAAAAAAAACCCAGGATAATTCCAGTTTTACTCCCTGGGTTTTAGGGTGCATCCAATGAGATAATACATCTGACGGAGTGCTGCACATAGGAAAGAAGGATTTTTTTTGTTATTGCTGATGTGTGTTTTTGCAACAATCCAGTGAATTTGAAACTGAGATCCAGTACTAGATAAGTACTGGATGTTTATACAGGTCTGATGCCAAGGGCAACTCATAAGTTCTATAAACCTGGCCCCAGGCTGATCATTCTCTTTCGGGGTCTCTTACCTATTGAAGACTCTTTAGAGATCATTCTAATCTAAACGCTAGCTTTACAGACTAGTAAACCAGGGCCCAGAGAGGTGTACTATTTGACCAAACTCACACAGTGAGTGAGAACAGAGCTGCTTCTAGTTTGCAGGTTTGACGTAGACCAGCTGTCTTCTCAGGACCCCGGCTTCACTTAGTGTGTGGCCAGCACTCAAGAAAGACCTGCTCTGCGACGGCAGCCCTGTCCAGGGGAACTTAACAGTCTCTTGGAAACTGTCTGAGACTTCAAGGACCACAGTTTGTGACTGTGGCTCCCCTCTCTGCACGTCAGTCCTGAGCCCTTTTCTAGGATGGAACAGAGGGGGCGGCCTTACCCCTGAGGCGACGTTTCCCCACCCAGGCAGCTCAGGGATACTCGGTCTGTGCTCTGCCCAGGATCGCGACAGGAGACAGGCTGCGGGGACGCAGGGTGGGGCGGCGGATTGGAGGCCAGGAGGCGGGCCAATCACAGGGCCCAGCTCGCGGGCGGGGCTGCTACCCCTGGTCGCTAAGGACGCAGAGGCTGTTGCTAGGCAGGGACCCGGATTTCTTCCACCTGCTGGAGGGGGCGGGGCTCCTCCACCGGCGCCAGGGTGTGGCTGCAGACTGGCAAGAGACCGTGGGGGAGAAGGGAAGAATAGTGGGGGAGAGGGAGGGAGGCAAACCATGAGAGACTCTTGAATGCCGAGAACAAACTGAGGGCTGCTGGGGGTGGGGGGAGTCGGAGGGGGGGGATGGGCATGGAGGAGGGCACTTGTGAGGATGAGCAGTGGGTGTTATATGGAAACCAACTTGACAATAAACTATTTATTTAAAAAAAAAAGAGTTTGAGTGTTCTCCAAACTGTGCTTTGGAGTTTCTCCAAGATATGTGAGCGTCTTTCTTGAAGCTCATCTCGCTCACCTGTGTAGTCACACTTGTCCCGTCCCTTCCCTGAAGCTTTGTATTTCCCTTGGTGAGATTACCACGTTACCATTAATAAGATTACCATTAATCTTGGTGAGATTAATCACGTAATTTGGATTCTTGCATTTGTCGGTTCAAATCCAGTCCTGTCCATTGCATGCTTTGGATAAATCTCTTCTTTCCCCTGACATTCAAGTTTCTTATCTGTAATATGAGGAAATTAATAGCACAGATGTAAAAGTAGGACCGCAATGAGATTAAATAAGAATATTAAAAGAACAAGTTTGAGTGGTATCTGTATGCCAGATGCCTCATGTGAGCCAGGCAACTATTACTACCTTATAAGTTAACAATGACCAATAACATAATTTTTTCTGTATTTTAAGGATTAAAAAAACAAGGCTTAGGGTGTTGAGTAAATACCCAAATTACCCAATATCCCACGGAGGCATGGACAGGATGAAAGTTTGAATGTATTCCTACACATCCCGAATTTCCAGGAAGTTTTTACTGTCAAAAGACTAAAGCAAACATGGGTAAATTGATTCCAAAATGGTGTTACTATTTCCAGCAGCAGCCCCAGTATCCACCCTGTCTGCCTCCTGCCCCTTGGCTACACTGTGTTTTGTGATTTATTGTATCATCTAATGGCACATGCAGTAGATGCATCTGCTCTCTAGGGGTGACTCTCTAGTAGGCAAGACACACAGGATATTCTATGATATACAAAGTACCCCTAAGGAGGAAAGAGGAGAGTTCCCTTTTTACTGTCCCAGCCCAACCTTCACATTGTCGCCAGACAAAGCCCAATTCTGATAAGTCCCAGTCTCTAGTCAAAGGGCTCCCATCAGCCATGGCAAAGTCTTCCATCCCCTATTCTCAAGCTTCTTCTTCCAGGCTTTCTATACTCCATCCAACCTAGTCTACTAACTGGCCTGAACCTGCCTTTCTTTTTTTCTTCTCTTTTCTTCTCTTCTCTTTTCTTCTCTGCCCTTTCTTTTGCTTTTTGCCTCTGTGCCTTATTCATTCTGTTCTCTCTGTACAAGACCCTTTATGTTCCCTCATCATCCATTCTTTAAGTTCCATCCCAAACGGTCAAGTGTATGCACCCAGGAATTAGATACCTTGGGTTCAGATCCTGGCTGTTAGTTCAAAGTGATCTTGGCAAATCACTTAAAATCTTTGTGCCTTGGTTTCCTCTTCTATAAAATGAGGATGACTTTTTGTGAAGATTAATTGAGTTATATAAGTAAAGCACTTAGAACAATGGCTGACACATAATGAGCAATATAAATGTTTGCTATCATCATTATTATAATGATCTGTCAAGGAGCCAAATCAGATCCCAGAAGCTGAAAATGGTTTCTCTGTTCTCTGTATAATTTGTGGTTTCTCTCTTCTGTAAAATGTGTCTTCCTTTGCCTGATAGTGTGAATACTTGTTTGCACTGGTTGCCCTACCTTCCTGGAGGATGCTTGTTGTAGGTTGAATAATGGCCTGCTGGACATCCACACCCTAATCCTTAAAACCTGTTAATATTATCTTCTGTGGCAAAAGGGACTTTGCAAATGTAATTAATTTAAGAATCTTAAGATGGGGAGATTATCCTGGATTATCCAGGTGGGTCTTAAATATAATTACAAGTGTCCTTAGGAGAGAGAGGTAGACAAAAAATGGACTACAGAAGAGGGAGGGGAGATGTGACCATGGAAGTAAGAGGTTGGAATGATTTAAAGAAGAGGTTGGAGCCAAGGAATGAAGATTGGCCTCCAGAAGCTAGAAAAGGCGGGGAGGGGGGGAAATCTCCTCTGGAGGCTCCAGAAGGAACCAGACCCTACTAATTCCTTGATATTAGCCCAGTGATACTGATTTTGGGCATCTGGCCTCTAAAATTCTAAGAGAATAAAGTTGTGTTATCATAAACCACCAAGTTTGTGATAATTGATTACAGTAGCCATAGGAAACAAATGCAATGTTACTGAAGAACCCACTTCTTTTCAAAAAATATTTGTTTACTTTTTAGAGAGAGAGCACATGTGACTGGTAGAGGGGCAGAGAAAGAGTGGCAGATAGAGGATCTGAAGCTGGCTCTGCACTGACAGCAGAGAGCCTGGTCACCGGGAGATCATGGCCTGAGCCAGGTCAGAAGCTTAACTGCCTGAGCCTCCCAGGTGCCCCAGGACCCACTTCTTCATAGAACTGATCGCACTCTGTGGCTCAAGTAGGCCAAACAATTCTTATTGAGGACCAGTGTACAGGTATTGAATGAAACACTATCTGTTGGGGTGACTAAAGTCTGAGGATAAGGTATCGAGGCTGTTGGCAGATATTTATGTCAACACATACTGCCTTTTCAGCAGATGAGGAGGAAGCCAGATCAGAGCTAAAAATGGAGTCAGTGTCAGAGGGGGATGGCAGCAAAAAGGCTGGATCCAGCTATGCTTGAAGCTGGCAAGATTCTAGACCTCCTAAACACAGAAGTGAAAAATGTAGCTCTCGCTTAAAATATATTTTGAAATGAGCTTCATTAATCTTTACCTACAGAGTCCTGGTGAATGCAGAGACTTTTAAAACTTCAGGTTGCTAAGGTTCATATGCGGGGTGCAGTTAATTGATTGGCATTTTAAATTTCACTATTAATTCTGTGATAGAGCTTGAAGAAGTCCATCAATTTTGATCAGATCAATTATTCTACTAAAGGCTCCCGTTGACCTTATCTTGACCTAAAGATTTTATAAATGCCAACTTGAAACCTAATGACATAAGAGGGAGGATTTTCACTGCAGCTCTTTTATCAGTTTGAAGGTATTCACTTGAAATTGGATATATTTCTTTGGAATCTGAGGGAACCTCTGCTTCGCCAGTTCCTAGCCAAATGACCTTGAGTAAGGAATTTACCTCTTATCTTTCGGGTGGAGATAAACAATAATTATCCTGAAGACTGCTATCAGGATTAGAGATCATATTCCTAGGGCCCCTGACATGTAACTAGCTTTCATAAATTATATTCTTGTTCATAACAATAGCAGCTAACATTTAGTGAATATTTATTATGTGCCAGACATTGTGCTAAAAGCTCTTTTAAAAAATGTTTATTTATTTTGTGTGTGTGTGTGTGTGTGTGTGTGTGTGTGAGACAGAGAGAGAGAGAATCCCAAGCAGGCTCCATCCACAGCGTGGAGCCCAATGTGGGGCTTGTTCCTACAACTTCAAGATCACTACCTGAGTTGATATCAAAAGTGGGATGCTTAACTGACTGAGCCACCCAGGCACCTCATCTTTTTTTTTTTTTTTTTTAACGTAGGCTCCTCACCCAGCATGGAGCCAAATGTGGGGCTTGAACTCACAACCCTGACAGAAAGACCTGAGAGGAGATCAAGAATCAGTTGCTTAACCAACTGGGCTACACAAGTCCCCTTGTGCTAAAAAGTTTCTCATTCGATATCATATTCAATCTTCACAACAATCTTATGGTTTTAATATCCCCATTTTAGAGACGAGGAATCTGAGGTTTAGACGAGATAACTTGCTGGAGGGAGCATAGCTAGGAAGAACCAGAGCTGCAGTGAAAATCCAGGTGTGTCTAATTGTAGAAGTAGCTTTTATAGCCACGCCTCCATACCTCTTCTGTGGGAGTTAGCCATTATTGTTAGTATCGTTATTAATGCTGATATTTTCGTTGGCACTGTTTTAAGGCTTTAGTTCCCTTAGAGAATGCAGATTCTATGATAGAGTTCTTAAGGAGGAGTGGCCTCTTCTTATCTGGGATTTTCTATTTCACACTCTGGTTTATGAAATGACATAACCAGGGAACATCTCTCCCGTGGCTTATATTAAACAAGGCAAAACAAAAAGCTGTGTAATAAATGTCTCCAGAAGATTAAATACTGTGGTTAAAACTTTCCTTGAATTCAACAGCTTTAGATTACAAGTCACCAGAGAAAGATTCCAGGGAAACATCTTCTAACAGAAGCAGCTCTCTTTCTTTCTCCAAAGAAAGATGAATTGCTGTAATAATGAAACCAAAGAATGCTTCCTCCCAAAACGTCATGATTTTACATTTACCATCAAATAGAGTAAGGAAAAGGGGGAAAAAAGTCATCTCCAAAAATTGTTTTGTGTTTGCCCATATAAGTCAAAGTAGAATGAGTTTATAAACAGGAAACAATAAAGCACTGCTCTTTTGAACAGTTTAATCACAGATCTGTAAAAATGAGGCATTTTGCACTGAAGCCCCCTGTTCAAAAATAGAGGAAATGAATACTGATGTATTGGAGCCTTATACATTTCTCCCCTCGGAAACATAGGGGACCCAAGCCAACAATCTTCCTTATGACTAAGGAAGGATTGCGGGTAAAAAGATGAGCAAATGACAGGCTGATTTTCTAACAGAATGCAAACATGGCCGAGTTTCTTTTCCTTTTTAAAATCCTTTCATGGCTCTGGAGAAACAAGATCATGTAGCATACCGATTAGATGGGCCAGTTTGGGGCCCTGCATTAATTTACTAGGGTTGCCGTAACAAAGTACAACAGAGTAGGGAGATTATAAACAACAGAAGTTTATTGTTTTACAGTTCTGGAGGCTAGATGTCCAAAAAAGTGTCAATAGGGTTGGTGCCTTGTGAAGGTGATGAAGGAGAATCTGGTCCACGCTTAAGTCTTGCTTTTAGTGGCTTACTGACAATATTTGGCAGTCCTTGGCTTATGGGCTTCAACCTTTATGTTGGCTCACCTGGTGGTCTCCCTGTGCGCACACCTGTGCCCACTCTACTCCAGGATCACTTCATCTTAACTAATCACCCCTGCAATCATCCTGTTTCCACATAAGGTCACATTCTAAGATCCTGGGAGTTAGGATTTCAACATGTGGATTTTGGGAGGGGATACAATGTGCTATCAACGGAATGTCTGTGGACCCCCACAAATTCATATGTTGAATCCCTAATTCCCAACCTGTTGGTATTTGAGGTGGGGCCTTTGGGGGTCATTAAGTTTAAGTGAGGACATAAGGGCTGGGCCCGCATGATGGCATTAGCACCCTTATAAGGAAATGAAGGGACTAGAGCTCTCTCTCTCTCCATGCTGTGAGGGTACAGCAAGAAGGCGTACCTCTGAAAACCAGGCAGAAGGCTGTGTCTCAGGACTGAGTTGGTTGTCTCTTTGATGCTGGACTTCCCAGACTTCAGGACTGTGAGAGAAAAGTGGTTGCTATTTAAGCTATTCGATCTGTGGTATTTTTGTTATAGCAACTTGCGCTAAGGCCTAATTCAACCCAATACAAGCGCTAAGTGCTTGGTTTCCATACCTGGCTCTGCCCGTCATATGGTGTCACTTCAGGCAAACTGCTTAGCCTTTCCGTAACTTTGTTTCTCCATGGGTAACACCAATACCTGCAATAATGCAAAGTTGAAAGAGATGAACAAATGTTTAGAACAGCGTTTGGTATCTGGTAGGAATTTGCTGCCATTAGGCTTACCTCCTTAAAATAATATATGCATCCTTTAGTATGGCCCCCTTGATTTGGCTTTTGCCCACGTCTCCAGTCTCGTCCCCCACTCTCTTTCTCCCCGCCTAATTAACTAAAGCTGTGCCATTTTACCTACAGTTCCGTAAACCTTCCGTAAGTTTTATCCCTTATGCCTTTTTGGAGGTGGTTGTTTTTGCTTGAAATGTCTTCCTTGTGGTCCTGTTTCTAACTTTGAAGATAAAGTCAAATGTTACCAACGACGTGAAGCTATCTATTTTCAGTGTCCCCAGGCAGGTGGCAATGATCTCTTAAGCAAACCAGGAGTCTTAACACCTTCTACTCGTCACTGTAATTACTGGTTTAATATCTTTCTCCCCTGCGGAGATGCTCTTGTGAATGGT